TGTATTTCACTCGAAAGAGCTTCAGCCCCTCGCCTTAGCGCTCCAGTCTCCAACTACTTGGCTCTCTTTTCCCCAACCAGTTAATATGCTACCAAAAAAATAAAAGGTCAGACAAAATTATGCGTTAGTTTGGAAATTAAAAAGAGAAGCTCTGGGTAGCTTGCCTCATGACTTGGTGTATCTCATAACCTTCACGGACAACACCATACACCCGATTATTCAACTGCCTGAGCTCATCTAGCAGCATTAATTCATCTTCAAATTAGTTCCTCCAACTATATCGATACAAACATGTAAAAAAAATAAGAATCCTCACAAAAATATGTCTATGATAACAATTGGGTGTTATTTATCACTCATTAACTTCAAGTGAAGGGTTCAAAAGAGAGACAAAACCTGCAAGGGTTCGAAAAAGGGATAGTAACAGTAAGTTACCTGAGCTAAGAATTGTGTTCTTCAACTCATGTCATTCATACAATTCATTGTCTCTGATCTAAATCCCAGAAAACCATAAAGCAAAAGGTTTGGAAAATGAAGTATCAGCAAACGAATCACAACAGTCTCAGGAAAACCAAAAGCAAACAAAAAAAAAAGAAAGTAAAGCAAATACCTTTCATTCGAATCTTGGACTCGAGGAAACCCCTCCAGAAATATCGCCATGGTGTATAACCACGGCGGACACAAATTGTCAATGAAAATTTCGGGAACCACATCATCAAAGAACACGTGTGGGAGACGCCTTCACTTTCGAATTCTTGGAAGTCATTGCTGGTGAAGGTTTGTCTGCGTTGATAAGAGTAGGGCATCAATAAAAAGTATGCGTCCAAATAATAATGACTTGACGAATGAGAGTAATACATGGAAAAAGTGTAGGTAACAGATTTTAAACACACTGGCAATACATATAGAGCCCAAAACAGATGTGATCAGCAGTAAAATCAACCAGATAATGACAAAAAATGATAACAAAGAGACGGGAAAAAGGTCTGCTTTTTATTGATCACACTTACGTTGGCTTAAATTCACTACATATGTCTTTGACCATGATGATAGTCATTTCCACTAACTGGCTAAGGAAACTGAGAGATAAGAGCAAATACTTAAAGGTGAAACCACCATGTAATATGCATGTTCCACTGGAGTTTAGCAATACTCCAAACCCCTGCGCTTGGTAATCCAGAGACATGCACCGGCTTTAATCTCTCGGTATTAAGCTAAAAAGCCGATAGAGATTTAAAAAAAAGAGGATTTATGATCACTAAAATATTATTCATATTGTCCTATTATTTCTGCTTTATTCTACATTTTACTTCCCCAATCAACCATGTAGAAGAAAGATGGTTTCATCGAAAACATAAAGAGAAAGTCAGTAATTTTTAGCGGACGCAAAGATGTCAAACTCATATAAGCGTACACACCTTTAATAAATATGTCCATAGATGTGTACCCACCTATTGACTGAAGGAGGGAAGCACCAATAGCTCCAGCTAAGTTCGTCTAACTAATCTGCATAACAGAAGTGCAAAACAAAAACTTTAGGCAATATCATCTATGCTTGAAGTTGAAATCTACAATTGATCATGAATAAAAAGAACCAATATAAGCAAGCACCAAGAAAACATATCACCCTCGTAAGTGCCGGGCTTGAGCCTGGCATGATTATTTGGCTGTAAAGAAAACATTAGAAATTCATCCAAAACTTTATGCCGAATGAGTACTACGAAAGATAGGAAAAATACCAGAACAGAAATTGAGTGACACAAATCAAAGAGTGGATATAACAATAACCACCTTCCTCGCTGAGAGTACTGATTTCTCTGTCACATAAAATGAACTCAGCTCATAATTACCTCCCTCTCTAAGGAGGCGTTGGAATGTGTTCAACACGGTGGACGCTATCTGTGGATCATCGTAGACTGCATCGTTTTTTAAGAAACTTCTGGATCTATAAGAGAAAGAATATGACGTTGGAAGCAAAACTCTAATAATTTTAAGAAACAAACGTTTCCTAAAAACCGATTTACCTTCTCATCTACCAGAACTATATTGATTCCCCATAAACGTTCCACCTTTCTTGGCATTCCTAGCTTCTCAGAAACAGAGGAGAAGGGAGACGTTACGGTGAGTTGTTCTGGTCATTGCTGGAAGATGCTGTGGTCGGTGTGATTAAGTTCCAGAGAACTCACCGCTGTTGAAGGGGGAAGGCAAGAAGACGATGAAGCCTAATTTGTCTGGGCTTCTGATTTCTGATTAAAACCCACACGAGATTGAGAACCAATCACATCCGGAGTAAATTTCTGAGATATTACTCAGAAATAGGAAGAAGAGGGCGGCGTGGTTAAATCTGCCGTAAATTGACATCGATTATATACTGATCCGGCTTTAACTGAGGAATTAAAAGAAGGGATTAGGGTGTTCGTTAAAAGCTATATTTGTTCAATTATGGAGGAGGGAGGTAGTGGAAGGTGGAGAAGACCGAAGTTTCGTAACAGGCGTCGTTCGGGTTGTCGGAATAGGTGCGTGAGAGAAAGGAAGAAGGAAGAAGGAAGACTTACGTGGAGACTTTGATCGCGTGGAGTTAATAAAAGATGAACGCGCGAGAAGCAAATCACGGACGCGAACAATAGACGTCAACTACACGGACCACTCACATGCTGACACTTGGAGAAAAAGCCCCCACCTTCAAAAGAGACGTGGATAGCCTAAGCAGGCAGATATGTCAACTTTATTATTATAGATTTGAGGAAATTTATATTTCACACTGGTATGAATGTGATTAACTGATTAATGATTATGTTCTTTGAGTAATGTTGCATGTATCCAAAAGATGAGAAACTTAATCCCTTATATATTGAAAGAGAAACATAGTAATAAATGCGTTCACACCGTAATTGACACGTGTCGGTCTCACAATCATTTGACAATTAATGCGTTCACACACTAATTTTTTAAATTCATTATTTAATTTGTTTATATATTATTTTTAATTAATTAATTTTCCTTTATTTTTAGTCTTTGTATTAAAAAAATAAAAACTTTCTACGTACAACTAATGAATAATATATTTATTGTAAAAAAATTACAAAATCATTAAGATTCACATCAACAAAAATGTTGTAATGAAAATGTTTGTAGAAATTGAAAGTTTCGTACCTTGTCGAAGTTGGTCATGGTTGAGGCTTTGGTACACAATAACAACAAATACGGTGATTGATTATAAATTAAAAAAACTGAGGTGAAAAACTCCACACATAAAGTCTGATCTTTATTTTGATAAAATATTAACATTTTTATAAAGTTTTCATATCAGACCAAGAATTAGAAACAAAAGCAAATTGTTAGAAAAAAAATCAGAAATCAAAAAAGCTTAAAAAAAAAAAAAATCACAAAATCGATTAAAAACAAAATTCAAGTATCAAGTGAATATGTTACTTTGTAATATATATTGTTTTTATTGTTTACGGATACAATTTGATTTTCTTCATATGAAAAGAGGTTATTGATTTTCTTCATATGAAAAGAGGATACAGTTTGTTTATTTTTACTTAATTTTATTTAAGAATTTACTATCGTGTTATTTTGAACAAAAATGTCTTAAATCTTATTTAACGGTATATTCATATATATATATATATATATATATATATATATATATATATATATATATATATATATATATATATATATATATATATATATATATATATATATATA